AAACAAATCAACAAGCAAAATAAACAAAACAAAACAAAACAAAACAAAACAAAAAAACAAAAAACAAATAAACCATTAAAAAAAGGGGCAAAGGACATGAACAGATACTTCTTAAAAGAAGACATACAAGATAGATACTTCTTAAAAGAAGACATACAAGATGCCAACTAACATATGAAAAAATCCTCATCATCACCAATCAGAGAAATGTAAATCAAAACCACAATGAAATATCATCTCACAGTAATCAGCTTTTGTTAAAAAGCCAAAAAACAAAACAAAACAAAAAACCGGTGTTGGTGAGGCCAAGGAGAAAAGGGAACACTTAATCAGTTAATGGGAATGTAAATCAGTTCAGCCACTGTGGAGAGCAATTTGGAGATTTCTCAATGAAGTGATAGCTGAACTTACTATTCAACCCAGCAGTCCCACTAGTAGGTATATATCCAAAGGAAAATAAATTATTCTACCAAAAAGACACATACACCTATGTGTTCATTTCAGTGCTATTCACAATAGTAAAGACATGAAATCAACCCAAGTGCCCATCAATGGTGGACTGGATAAAGCAAAAGTGGTACATATATACCATGGAATACTATGCAATCATCAAAAAGAATGAAATAATGTCCTCTGCTCCAACATAGATGCAGCTGGAAACCATTATCTTAAGTGAACTAATGAAGAAACAGAAAACCAAATACCCCATGTTCTCACTTATAAGTGGGAACTAAAAATTGGGTAAACATGGACATAAAAATGGGAACAACAGATACTGGGGAATACAAGAGAGGAGTGGGAGAGAGGGCGCTAAGGGTTGAAATAAACTACCTATTGGCATACTATGCTCACTACTTGGGTTACGGATTCATTCATGCTCCAAACCTCAGCATCATACAGTATACCTTTGTAACAAACCTGCATGCAATTCTAAAATAAAAATTGAAAAAAGTAAAACAGAAGACATATATTTATAATAATAAAAATAAAATAAAATAAATAAATAAAAATAAAACCTTAAAAATGAAGGAATATGATAGGGTTTGGCTGTGTCCCAGATCTCATCTTGAATTGTAATTCCCACAATTCCCACGTGTCATGGGAGGACCCTGGTGGGAGGTGATTGAATCATGGGGCAGGTCTTTCCCAGGCTGTTCTCATGATAGTGAATGAGTCTCATAAGATTTGATGGTTTTAGAAACAAGAGTTTTCCTTGCATAAGCTCCCTCTTTTTGCCTGCCAACATCCACATAAGATGCGACTTGATCCTCCTTGCCTTCTGCCATGATTGTGAGGCCTCCCCAGCCACGTGGAACTGTAAGTTATTAATTAAACCTTTATCCTACATAAATTACCCAGTCTCAGGTATGTCTTTGTCAGCAGCATGAAAACAGACTAATACAGAATAGTAAATTATTTTTTACTTTATAAAGGAAAATGACAAATTATACGTTTATTTTAAATATTAAGGTCTCTAGTAATTTTAAAAATGTTTCTTTTCATCTATAATTTTTTTTTTTTTTTTGAGATGAAGTCTCACCCTGTTGCCCAGGCTGGAGTTCAGTGGCCTGATCTCAGCTCACTGCAACCTCTGCCTCCCAGATTCAAGAGATTCTCCTGCCTCAGCTTCCTGAGAAGCTGGGATTACAGGCATGTGCCATCACGCCTGACTAATTTTTGTATTTTTAGTAGAGACAGGGTTTCACCATGTTGGCCAGGCTGGTTTCGAACTCCTGACCTCGTGATCCTCCCACCTCGGCCTCCCAAACTCCTGACCTTGTGATCCTCCCACCTCAGCCTCCCCAAATGCTGAGATTACAGGCACAAGCCACCGTGCCCAGCCCTTTTCATATGTAATGCTATTTTGTTTGTTATTTACACTCGTTGCACTATTTATTCTAAATACAAAGCACACCTTGAGACATATAGAAACCTAGGCCTTGAGACCAGCCTGGCCAACATGGTGAAACCCCATCTCAACAAAAAAAAATACAAAAAATGGCCAGGCATAGTGGCACATGCCTATAATTCCAGCTACTCGGGAGGCTGAGGCAGGAGAATGGTTTGAACCAGTGAGGTGGAGGTTGCAGTGATCTGAGATCATGCTATTGCACTCCAGTGTGTGGCAACAGAGCAAGACTCTGTTTCAAAAAAAGAAAAAGGTCAGGCACGGTGGCTCACGCCTGTAATCCCAGCACTTTGGGAGGCTGAGTCGGGTGGATCACCTGAGCTTGGCCGTTCGAGACCAGCCTGACCAACATAGAGAAACCCCGTCTCTACTAAAAATACAAAATTAGCCAGGCATGTTGGCACAAGCCTGTAATCCCAGCTACTCAGGAGGCTGAGGCAGGAGAATCGCTTGAATCCAGGAGGTGGAGGTTGTGGTGAGCCGAGATCATGCCATTGCACTCCAGCCTGGGCAACAAGAGCGAAACTCCATCTCAAAAAAAAAAAAAAAAAAAGGAAGAAAAAAGAAAACTAAGCCATCTTTAATGATGATATTCATGTCATCATTCATAAGCATTCATCTTAATAAAGACTTTCTTTTGCATTCTGATTTCATGATTTTCATAATTATAACTAAACTCTGCTTTGTTATTACCCATGTCACAACTTGGGTTTGTATCTACAACTCATTGAATTGTGTGTTTAGACATTTTTTTTAAAAGAGGCCTCCAGAACAAAGACTGTCATGACTAAAAACACCAGAGCAATGGCAACAAAAACCCAAATTTGACAAATGGGAATCTAATTAAACTAAAGAGCTTCTGCACACGCAAAAGAAACTATCATCAGACTGTGAACAGGCAACCTACAGAATGGGGAAAATTTTTGCGCAATCGTATCCATCTGACAAAAGGGGCTAATATCCAGACCTAACAAGGAACTTAAACAAAATTTACAAGAAGAAAACCAAATAAATCCATCAAAAGTGGGTGAAGGAAATGCAACAGGGACACTTTCTCAAAAGAAGGACATTTATGCGGCCAACAAAAAATATTGAAAAAAAAGCTCATCATCAACTGGTCATTAAAAGAAATTTGGCAAAATCAAAATCACAAGGAGATACCATTCCTCATGCCAGTTAGAATGACGATTCATCTAAAACAGTCAGGAAACACAACAGCGTGGCTGGAGAGGATCAGAGGAAAAAGGAACACTTTTACACACTGTTGGTGGTATGTAAATTAGCTCAACCATGTGGAAGACCGTGTGGTTGATCCTTCAAGCATCTAAGAACCAGAAATTACTATCTTTACCCAGCAATCCCATTCTCTGGGTAATATCTGAAGCATTATAAATTCATTCTCCTATAAAGACATGCACACGTATGTTTATTGCAGCACTTGTTCACAATAGCAAAGACTTGGAAACCGAACGCCAAATGCCCATCAATGATGATGGACTGATTAAAGAAAATGTGGCACATGTACACCATGGAATACTATGCAGCCATAAAAAAGGATGAGTCCATGTCCTTTGCAGCGACATGAATGAAGCTGGAAACCGTCATTCTCAGCAAACTAACACCAGAACAGAAAACCAAACACTGCATGTTCTCACTCATAAGTGGGAGTTGTGCAATGAGAACACATGGACACAGGGAGGGGAACATCACACACCAGGGCCTGTTGGGGGGTGCGGGGGCAAGGAGAGGGATAACATTAGGAGAAATACCCAATGTAGATGACAGGTTGATGGGTGCAGCAAACCACCACGGCACCTGTATACCTATGTAACAAACCTGCATGTTCTGAACGTGTATCCCAGAACTTAAAGTCTAATAAAATTAAAAAAAGGAGGCCCCAGAGAGAGCTGCCCTGTACTTTCCACCATCTGAGGGCACAGTGAAAAGGTACCATCTATGAACTGATGTCAAGTTCTCATCAGACACGGATTTGCCAGTGCCTTGACTGAATTTTCAGAATCCAGAATTTTCAGAAATAAATTTTGTTTATAAACCACTCCATTTATGATATTTTGTTATGACAGCCTGAATGGACTAAGACAGTAGGCTATTTTTAATTTTCAAGTATCAGGATTACTCTTATCCAAAAATTCCAATGCTGAGAATTTATCCTAAGTAATCCAATAATAGAAAGCATTTATGCAAATGTATATCCACTACAATAGTATTTATAATAATGAAAATGTCATAATGTAAATGTCCAACAATATTGAAATAGTTATGAATAATATACCTGTAGAGTGAAATATTAGATATTTAAAAAGAGACTTACAGAAGTTGTTAATGATAAAATGTTAAGTTAAAATATATTAGAATAAATGGATATTTTTCAACTATTATATATTTTTCAACTATATGGAAACATTTTTGGTATATAATGTTGATAATATTAAGATGAAATTTTACTTTTTCTACTAAGCTTTTAAAAAGTAAAGAGAAGAAGATAATTCACAAAATATTAGCCATGATTAACTCTTAATTTGTGGAGTTAGGAATGCTTTATATTTTCTTTTCTGGGGCTGCCATTATTCTTTTATTTTCACCATGCTGTACTTCTCCTTGTTTCCCTGTAGAACTATTCTAGATTAAAGTAGAGTTATATATTTAAAAATATAATGCTTTTGTTATTATTGAATACTTATTTTAAATTACATTGCAAATATTTCAATCTCTACTCATAATACTTTTATTGATCCTTAATGGAAAGAATTTTTAAAAATTAAAAGAGAAGAATCCTATTTTATAAGTTCACTTTTTCCAGTGCAAAAGTTTAATACAGTTTTACTTTAGTACCAAAGAAAAAGAACAAAAAAGAATGTTTTAAGATGGAAAGTATGGAAGAGAAAAATATCTAAGGTGCCAAATTTTTGACTTTGTAACTTAATAGAAACAATGCAAACTCCTGCAGGCAAATAATCTATGTTGCAAACTGTTGACACATCAATCAAGGTTATGCCTCCTCAGCTCACTGCATCCTGTCAGTTCAGTCTGAATTTCTCAGTAAAGATGGTTAGTAAAATTGTGACTCTACCTGTCAAATGATGGCTTCTCCCCACAGTCAAAGGCATCTTGGAGCTCCTTAACAAGATTAGCCTGGCCTGGCAGTCGAAAGAGTCCCTCTTCTTTCAGCCCCCTTTGTCGGATAAAGTCCACGCACTGCTCCACCAACATCGGAGCCAGACGGTTTCCGTATCTCTTCTCATAACGAACAGTATCCTCCAGTTTCTGTCCAAAAATGCCTAAAAAAGTAAAGGATCACAGTGAACTTGAAAAATTTATCTCTTCCTACTTTGTTGTTGTTGTTGTTTTAATTCAATATAACAGAAAAACAAAGATTGGAATGCTAGCAAGCACTTAACATTCAGTATTTCACATTATTATACAATCGAATTCATTATATACAATTCCTCAAATGGTATGAATTTACCTTATGCTGCTCCTTTCTTGTATTCTATGTTTAGCCCAAAACCAAAATAGAAATACAGAGTTTGAGATATCCATTTTGAAATAAGAAAAACTATAATAAATGTAACTTGAGTTTGGGGTTTTCATTTTTTTTTTCCCTTTTAGGAAAGAAATGGTATTCAATAGCTTAAAAGCAGAAATATGCTGCAGAAAATAGTCAAATTCTACCTTTATTACGGTTTTATATTTATGTCCAATTTGCACTTAAATCCTATTTCTTTTTTCCCCTTTTGTTTTTACTCAAGTTGTGATGCCATGACTGTAATCAAGGTGATAAAACCAGGAAAATAAACCCTGAATTTTCTCACATACAAAATATTTCAGACACTGTTTGCATGTCTTAAACTATTAACTTATTTGAAAGTGAAAAATTGAAATTTACAAAGCAGAGCATACTAAAAGTGGAGAGGTGGGCTCATAGTGACTTGCCCTAACAGGTAGGGTATTTTATCAAGTACATTGTTTAGAATTGGCAGTACATGGTGGCGGTAAAAAGCAGGCCAAGTTTTAGTTAGATTTATTAATGATTTTGCAATACCTACAAACCATACATTCTTTGGTGTATACACCTGGGCCAAAAACAGCCACTATTTCATCCTCAGGACTTCACTAATTAAGAGATGATATTTTTGAAATATATTAATATTAGGTAGTAGCTTGGTAAAAATTACCAACCTATGAGAAAGGGGGGTAAAACAGCCAAAGCAAATGTGACTCCAATGTTCCCAGATGGAATGAATGTCATGAAATTATTGTAATGGTCTAAGGAGTTTCATAAAAGAGGAAGAAAAGTAAGTGGTGCATGTTGAAATTAGGTAAGACTTCAGAATGTGTGGGGAATTATTTAACAGCCATTACGTTAAGGATTTGATCATACCAACAGATGCTTTGCCCCCCCACCTGTGACATAATGTCTTTATGGATTCATTAGTGCAAAACTGTCACATTTCAAGCAATAAAGAACTGTTACCAAAGAAAATATTCTTAGCTCAGGTAGAAACGATAACAGGAAACACAACTATTCTACAACTAGTATAAAATTTAGCACTAATGAAATACATATATTCCATTTAGGAAATAATGTTGAGTAACCTAATGTCAATATTTAAGTGTATAAAGCAGAATTAGAAATAGTGTTTTCTAAGGGCAGTAAAGATTAGAGGAGACAACAGGTCTAGTTAGCTTGGTTTGTAGACTTTAGAACAAATAGTTCCTTGATAATCGTGTATCAAACATTATTCACCAACTCCAACAGACACTGACATCCCCTTCTCCCTTGACATTTCCATTATAGAAGCTGAAAAATTAAATACTTCTTCCACTTCCCTTGCAGAGGGGTGGTCACGTGCCACAGTCCTGGTCAATAAGTCTTCTTGCAGCCTTTAGGAAGACTTGCTCTTCTTGATGAAAAGGAAAAGCATTTGTAATTGTCAATCACTCCTTTTGCCTGTCTTCAACTTGGGCATGATACTGGCTCTTGTTATAGTCATCTTTTGTCCATTAGGCAACAATCACAAGGGAAAGGCTAAAAGATTAACAGACATGCTAAGGCTGAATTTATTGAACTACTGATCCAATACTGGCCGCACCTTTGTCCAGATAGCTTTTAATGTGAGAAAAACAAGCTGATGTGCGTTTAAGCCAGTTTTCTATTCCTTCAGCAAAACAAAATTCTAATCCATTCAATGGTAATAACAATTTTTGGAGATATTCTAGTGTTTTAATAATAAGGTTTACAAATTGGCTATGTTGGAGAATATAGACCCTTCCTGTGGAGAGCTTTGAAAACAAACGTCATGCTTATTTGCCTCTACTGTTTGAACTATATCCTGCCAAAATTAAGTAAATAGCCTTTTAGAAGACTTACAGATCATTTAAGAAAATAATATGTTGACATTTGGAAATAAATTTTATGTATGTGTGATTTTTTTTTTTTTTTTTACTTTGGATTTTTGCTTTGGATTGATAAATATATTACCTAAGGGTTCTCTCCAAATCCAACAGAAAATCTACTAAAGATGTTGCAATTCAATGACTCTGTGTGCTACAAACATGAACAAAACCTCTAAAATTCGGGTTTATACAGTAATGAAAAACAGTCAAACATTCTTTTCTCAAAGCTTTCAGGATTTTTTTTCTTTTCCCAACAACTCAAGGAAGGAATAAAGAAAGGGGTGTTTTGCTTTAGACGTGTATTTGGTTTCCTTTTTACTTTCTTGTGCATGCAGGTTTGCCTTTATAATAAAATAAGAATTTAAAACTATAGCAAGAAACTTAAATTCATTAAGTATTTATTATACTCTGAGTCCCTCACAATATTCTCTCATCTTTATAAGAAACACGTAAGGTAACTATCATTCTCTCTTTTTCACTCGGAAAATTTGGGCTCAGAGAGATGAAACAATCTGTCTAAGGTTAGTTACAGAGCACCAAGTGGCAGAATGGAAGTCCACATTCAGATTTATTTAGCTTTAAAATCTTTGCTCATTCCTGAATATCAGTTCTTTTCCTATTTATTTAATCACAATCGTGAGTCCTCATTTTCTAGTAATTAAAAATATTAGTACATTCTACAACCGAGTAAAACCATGTACCTTTTTTGTGCTTTTAAAAAGTGATAATAGCTAAGCTGTACTTACATATGCCAGGCACGTTACAAGCAGTTTATCTGCATTTCTCTCATTTAAAATTCATAACACCTTGTGAGGCAGGCACCACCATTCCTTGCACTTTAAGGAGGAGGAGCTTGAAGCACAGAAAGGTCAAGTAACTTGCCAAATGTCACACAGCAGTAAATGGTGGAGCTAAGGCTTGTTTGAGGCAGTGGGATATCAGAGCCACTCAGTGTCTATTACACAATACTGTGTAGTATGCACAATGGCTGAAAACAGCAATGGAGGAAGACACCTGCCATTTATTAGCTTTCTGACCTCAATTCCTCCCATCACATTAGGATCAATGATTTGTGCTGAGAAAATGTAAATTGGGAGTTGGGGGAGGTCAGGAAAAAAAAGAGAAGGAAAATACTCTGGAGCTTCAATGAGCATGCTGTCCCCCAAAGCAATTTCCTTTTTAAAAAGCTGATGTCTTTAATATAGCAGTATAATATGTAAAAAAGTTTTAAAGCATGTAGACAACATGTATATATGGTTTAAAATTCCTGTCGGAAAATGAGTTTTCTGCTGTAGAACTGGTCTTGCAAAGAATGAGTAAAGAATTTTAATAGACGTATACTCCCCATTCTGTAGCACTGGAAATAGAGTGTGCCAAATATTTCTGGCTTAAAATGGTAGATGTAGGTTGCCCTTCTGCATAAGAATGTTCCTTGGGAGGAAAGCTATTGATGGGAAAAAATCATTTAAAAAAAAAACAGATTTATTTAAAAATTTTCTTGAGGGAACAGTGAAACTTCAAATTTTAAAATTAACACAAAAGCACAAAGGTCATGTGCTACCCCCAGCTAACAGCATGAAGAAAGGACACAGTGACTAGTAGATTATTAACAATACTCCCTGGGATGTGGGTCACGCGAACAGTTCCAGCTATGTCCACTTAAACTCCCAGCAAGTTTTCACACACTCTGACAAAACCGTCCCCAGTATTTGTGGGCGGCGATGAATATCATGCCTACCTCTCCTCCATGTGAAAGTACATTGATATGTCATAAAACATCACCCAGGATGTGACTTTTCACTGGATTGAGAAAGTAAATCACACAGGTGAATTTATTATACTGGTAGGTGGTTGTTTCCAGTGGAACAAGCAAGAGAGAAACTGCCACAGCCTTCAGGGTTTGAGAGGGTCCCCCTTTACATGTGATTTATAGAGCCAATAGCTAGAGGCTGCCTGTGAAGTGAGTGACTGTGATGCTATAAATACATTCATATTTCATTCTTCCTGAAAATAAATAAGCAAAGATGAATCTAAACCTTCTTCGACTCTGTGCCCTGTAACTACATATTCTCTTTGCTCCTCAATTCCCAGTGAAGTATGTGACTCTGTCTCCTTTTCATCATTTTCTATCCACTTTCTAACTTTTGCAATTTGATATCTGACCCAGTTATAACAATAAAATGGCTTTTTCCACGGTCACCAATAACTTCCTAGTTGCCAAATCATTGACAGCCAAATTTGTTCTTTGTATTACTTCTTGTCTAACTCCCTTTAAAACTGTCAGTCTCCTTCTTCTTCCTGACACTTCACATGTTACATGATTTTTGCCTCTCAATGCCCTTCTCAGTCTCTTTCTTGACTATGCTAACTACTACACTCTTTAATAGTTATCTGGGTTCTGTCCTCAGCTCCGTTTTTACTTAACCCGATACAGTTACTCTACTAGACTCCACTTAATTTCACTACATATTAATTATTTTCAGGTTTGTATCTCAATTTGGGCTATTGCTATAATTTCCAGCATTGGATTTCTGGGTGCCCAGTAGAACTCTCAATAGGGATAGCTCAAACATTTTCAAACTCAAAATTTCTAAAGCTGAATAAGTCATCTCTTTTTAAAAACCTCTTCTGTGTCCTTTAATCCTAATTTTGGTTATCAGTACATACAAGCTATTCCCCCAAAACATTGAAGTGCCATCTGAGAATCAACCTACATTCCTCTTTCCTTCAAGCTACTCATTTAATCACCATGCTGATCGCCTCCAAGCTCCTTACCACTGCATTAGGTTAGATATTCAGTATTTCTTCTATGATTTTTTGAAGAGCCGAGTTCCCAAGCCAGCCAAGTGCTGCCATGGTGGATTTCATAATATTTCAATTG